GTGGGGCTTGAAAAAAAATCTATTTAAGGGATTTGGAGACGAGAACAGTAAAAAAAAAAGCTCAGCAACGAATCCTAAATGTAAAATGATTTGCAGCATAAGACATGAGAGCACATATTATAGATAGTATTAAATATGAAGTTCACGCCTCATATAGTGAAGTCCTATGTCATAGGACTATTCTTGTAACATGGGTTAGTAACTGGTTCCAATTTATCCTGAATTGTCTTTATTAAAGAATTAGTTCCGGAGTATTTATATTTTACAGCTTATGTCTCTACTTGTGGGTTTCTGGTTCTGCTGTCGTAATTAGGTGATTTTTTTTCTACATGTAGTAAAAAAGAGGGAGCTTAGTCCAAATAATTGTAACGTCCTGGATGCTTTTTATTCTTTTTTCATGTGTGCCTTCCTGCAACGTCTCTGAGGATCAAGAAAAGTAAAAAATGATATAGCACTAAAGAACGTCATGATTACATGTATCTGGACTTAGAAGGGGGAGGGGGGCTAGCTATGTATTTTTTTTTTATTTCAATGTGTAGACTATAGGAGTTTCTTCAGAAAAGATTTTCACTGGAGGTGTTTTTGCCATGCACGCAGGCATCTGTTTCTATCGATGAACAAGTTGTGTGTCAAATTAATTATTATTACTTGTCACTCGCATTTTTTGCTCGTCCTGGCCATTATTGGCATTAACAGCCAGTGCACGAATTCGCACGAACGCCAAATTTAGTTAGAGGGGCCATATTCTGACGCGTTTTTTAATTCTTGGTCACTCAAATTTAGAAAGAAAGGGGAGAAATCCAAACAATTACCGACCAATCACAAACGTTGTTGCAAATTTGACCTTATGACGTCAAAGAATTTCCCATAATGCAATTATTGCATATAAATAAAAAAAACTACTATACCAATTGAATAAAAAATATTGCATTCAAATGACATTTTATACCAATTGAATAAAAAATATTGCATTTGAACGAAAATTATACCATTTGAATGAAAAATTATACCATTGAATGAAAAATTATACCATCTGAATAAAAAATATTGCCTTTAAATGAAAAAAATATACCATTCAAATAAAAAAATATTGCATTTAAACGAAGAAATATACCAATTAAATAGGAAATATTGCATTTAAATGAAAAATATCAAATTTTTGCAACCAATACATTGCCATACTCGTTCAAGAAATTTATTAATGGACAAGAATGAGTTTTAATGGCGAAATATTTTTTTTAAAGAAGCTGTCTTTTAATAATGTTGAACTGTATCAGGAGTTTCAAGAAATTTATGGAAAAATGAGTAGAGACTATGCAAAAACCAGTCTAATTTTCGAAGCCTACTTTTGTAAATTTGTATTTATATTTTATGTAATTCCGGTGATGTTGGAGACGAGTTTCATTGTGTTTAAAAATGTTCCGCAATGGACAAATAAGTAAACAAACGCTGTTAAAAGGGGGTTTGATCCCCAAGGACGCCACATTTTGCAATGAATTCGATCTATATTTTATAACGTTTTCAAATGAAATGAATTGATGAAAATTTCCCGACTTTGAGAAAATTTCTCAATTGGTTTCAACATTTTTGCAAAAACAATATATGTTTATGTTTTTTTTTTAAAGGAAAGAATTTTCGTTTGTTTGCCAAGTTTATTTGTATGTGATTATTACCATCATTAATCACTCCTAATTATTTAAGATCAAAGGACCTAATCAACATGATAACTGGTATTGAATATGATCATCGGTCATGCATAACATATCCCAAATAACGGATCGTGCCGAGAAAAACTTAAATAACTTCTCAAATATTGAATTAATTTTATCAAAACAAAAATTACAAGATCAAAAATTAAACTATCGAAAGCATACCCTCAACGCTCACTAAAACATCTAGTTCATGTTCTGATAGCACTTTTTATGTCCTGAGTGCACTCAGAAGGTCCTGAGCGGTTTTTAGACGTACCGGTCTGAAACAGTCTTAACCCGTTCTCGACCTGTACTCGACCAATACTTGACTAGCTCTCGACCTATTTTTTCAGTCTGAACCATACTCGACCAAAGATCTGAACAGTACTCGACCAGTCTGAACTATACTCGATCAAAAAACCTCTACTTTTTATAATTTTGATTGTTAAAATAACTTTCTTTTTAACTGATATGACAACAGCCACAATAAAATAAAGATATATAATATATAAAAAGATTTTTACATCCTTACATTATTCTCAGATTTATCAAATCGAGATACAAAAATGTAGTTAAATTATCTAATTTTAAAGACTGAGTCTTGTTAAATAAAAAGACTTTTTTTTTTATCTGAAAACCACACCTATACTGAGGGTAATAAAACCTTGTTCAGGTGTTTTTTTGTTTGGCATGTGTTTTTTTTTTAAACAAAACTTGATTTTCCTAAATTCCTTAATAAAAACTACATAGGTTTCATGGTTACATACAATAGTTAAAACTATCTATTTAATGAGGTAACAACAGCCAACAAAATCACTGACAATGTTTAACTTTATATCAAAAATATATCTATTCTCATTATAATTTGAGATATATATATATATTTTAAAAAGGGATAAAAAATTAAAATAATGAATAATTTTTTTCTTCTGATTAGGGTTAAATTATAAAGTAATACACCTGCTTGGGTCACATTGATTAAAAAGATCACATCTGGTCAGAGAGTAATTTTTTTTAAATAACATCCATTGAAAATTACAACATCCTGTAAAACTGAAATCACAAGGCCTTTTGAATTCTGAATCACTAGATAAGTAATACACAAGTTTAAGAAAAACATTAGTTTCTTTTTACCTGTAAAACACACCTGTACTAAGGTAATTAAACCGGATTTAAGTGCTTCTTGTATGCCAAGTCTTTAATTTTTAAAAAATGTATTTAAATTTAATTAATTTAAATTTCTACTGCAACTTTGGAATACATTTCCTTTTTTAAAAGGTTATCAAGGATTGCTACGAAAGTTTTATCATTATTATTATATTAAATTCTTGGTTTTTACAAAACAAAGGTGTCAATGTTAACATTTATTAAGTTGCTTTATATACTATTTTATATATATTTTGATAAAAAAAAAAATTGAATAACATTTGAGATATTTGAATAATGGTTGAAAGTTCTAGTATTTTTTATGTACATAAAGCAATGTGAACATGATATCATTTATATAAAAATTCGTTTAACGAAAACTTAATTTATTACATGATATTTTTTAATCCAACCAGAAATTACTTCCTTTGATCATCTTGTTTTATTTTTATTTTAAATGTGATATACATTGTATATATATATGTATGTATAACAGTTCCTAAATTGATGAAATACAATAGATAGATACAAAAACAGGTCTAAGTTGGTTAAGACTTGGTCGAGTATGGTTCAGACTAGGTCGAGCATGGTTCAGACTTGGTGGAGAATGGTTAAGACTAAGTCGAGTATGGTTCAGACTCGTATAAAATGGTTAAGTACTGGTCGAGTAAAGGTCGAGCACAAGTTCAGACTGTTAAGTACAGGTCAGACTACAGTCGAGTAATATCAAGTAAATTTCAGACCAATTCAGACTGGTCGAGTACAGATATAGGCCATTAAATGTATAAGTGTTACTTGAGCTACACGTATTAATGAGGCATGCAACCGTCTGCTGTATAATTTCTATCTAAATTTGTATTATAAGTGTTACTTGAGCTACACAACCATGTTACTGAAGCATGCAATCGTCTACTGTACATTTAAATTTTTATAAGTGTTACTTGAGCTCCACAATCATGTTACTGAGGCATGCAATCGTCTACTTTATATCTAAATTTATATAAGTGTTGCATGAGATACACGTGTTACTGAGGCATGAAACCGTCTGCTTTATATTTAAATTTGTATAAGTGTTACTTGAGGTACACGTGTTACTGAGGCATGCAGCCGTCTACTGTATATTTAAATTTGCATACGTGTTACTTGAGCTACACAATCATGTTACTGAGGCATGCAATCGTCTACTTTATATTTAAATTTGTGTAAGTGTTACTTGAGCTACACGTGTTACTGAGGCATGAAACCGTCTGCTTTATATTTAAATTTGTATAGGTGTTACTTGAGTTACACGTGTTACTGAGGCCTTCGACTGTCTACTTTATATTCAAATTTGTATAAGTGTTACATGAGATACACACGTTACTATAAGGCATGCAACCGTCTACTATATATTTAAATTTGTACAAGTATTACTTGAACTACACAGTCATGTTACTGAGGCATACAACCGTCTACTTTATATTTAAATTTGTATAAGTGCTACTTTTTTGTGTCGTTAGGTTGTTGTTTATACCTTAGAGGTGGTACAGTACTGGGAGTCTGAATCTTTAAACTTAAACTATGAGCTACACATAATCATATCAAATGTATTGCTGCTTTGTGAATATTTCAAATTTCGAATATTCATTCAACGAGGTAATTATCGGTATTGCAATTGCTTAAACAGAGGAAATCCTTCTATCTGAAAATGACGATAAATCAATGAGCTATACCTATATGCTTTGAGTTTGGTGGATTGATGTTTTAACCAACAGTCGGTCTTTCATTTTTGTGCTAACTACTCACTCCTTCTGGTCACTATGTTTTGGACTCATATGAAAAGGGGTTACAAGCTAGGGGCGTTTGTACATCGGTAGTATATGATAAAAAAATATTTTACACTCTCTTTTCCATATCGGCCCGGGTATCATCCATAACGTCAGAGGCGGATTTAGAGGGGCAGGGTGCCCGGGGCTCCCCTTTCGTGGGAAAAATTTGGTTGATTATTTAGGGAATTACTGAAGCATGACTAAGCGGGCCCCCTCTTATGGCAGTCAGTGGGCCCCCCCTTATGAAAATTTCTGGATCCGCCACTGAACGTCTCAGGCTGATATAGGGGTCTCGGGATGATACCGGGGGCGATATGGAAAAGGCCATGAATTAATCTGTATAAAATGTACTGACCATCAGGAATCTTGATCACTGTATTGCCGTAGGCATGGTTAGCGGGTACAGTTATTTTCCGATACTCTCCAGGGCACATCCCAATCATGGCGTTCTCTAATGCTTTCAGTATTTGATTTTTTCCCAGACGAATAGTCATTGGTTCCCTCTCTTTACCTGTTTTACTAAGTGAGAAAGTTAACTCAATAATGCATTATTTCACTGATTAAGACGATGTATTATTTAATAATTGTTCTTGTTTTTATGCCTTTTATGTTAATATCCGTCAAACATTGAGATTAAGGCCAACTCATCGCCGTTTATAATATTATTCCTTTCTTAACCACACAATGGTCACATGTTTCTTGTAACCGATCTTATTGTATATCCATTATGATCGAAGATGTGCATGTTATTACAGTTCTTATACTGTCGTTATATGGTAGAATATGCAAATGATTTTTTTTAACTTATACTATATCTCAAACCTGCGACAAAAGTTTTTAAACCTCATTTCACGCATGCCCAAAATAAATTTCCACATGGATTTCATACATTGTCTGTTTTGAATAACATCTGGGCTTATTGTTCATCTAGCTGATTCTCAGTCGTTTGTTATCTTTTATCATTATTGCTCTAAACTTTAATTGTGACTCACAGGTTGTCGTTATCTTACCTTCTCAAAGGTAAAACACATTTTATATAATATACCAGTGTATGTAATGTGCGAATCCTGAAATGTCATTTTTTTTACTGTATCCGTGATGAATTTCTGATGTAGAATGATAAATAAACAGACGACAAAGTCATGCTTTTTTAATAAAATAATAAAAAATGTATAATGTGTACTGTTTTTATAAATTCATGATATAGGTATGAGATGCGGACGGGTTTTCATCGCGTCTACAGCCATCCAGGTGCAAATTTGATAAACAAATAGATAAATGTTAAGAATAGTTCACGAACAGATAGTGCAAGATATTTAAAATTAGCAGTTAAGTTTCATTTGCAGAAAAATGTTCCTTTTAACATAATTATTAATGTTGTATGACTTAAAACAGGTTTTGTTATTCAGCTTGTTGATATTGAATCAAATTCCACTATGCTGTTTTCGTTATGCGATTCATGTTTCCTGTCGAATAATGATACTAGACTTTCATTTTCACTATATGGGTGATACATTTTTATTGTACATGCGATGCATTTTTCACAGAAGGAAATTAATTAATTTTGCATTATATAAAGTCATAATTCAGCCGACTCTCTAACAAAATTTATGGTGTCAGAAGGATTGATTATATATACATACTTAGTGAGTGAAAGTCTGTGGTAATTTATCAATATATTCCTTAAAAATTGCATTTATTGTTAATATAGTCAATTCTATTCTCTCTAATAATTTGTCCAGATCCAGATCAATATGTAGGATAAAATGTATCTATTCCTATGATACGCCATCATTAAATACATATATCTTGGACAGTTAAGCCAATCAACGTCACCGAAAAAGCAAAGTTTCTGTTTCGGTCTAAATCTACATCGCATACTAATAAATTAAACGTTATTAGAGCTATTTTCCTAATGCTTGTAGTTAAAAGGTATGATTTGCTTGCTTGCTTTGTTTGTTTAAATGTTTGCTTAAGCATTGTAATTAAGATTGAGCAAACATTTATACAAACAACGCAAGCAAGCCACCCAAACCTTTAAACTACAAGCATTAGGAAAATCGCCCTAATTGATGATTTTAGATTAAAAAAAACATTCACAAAACGATCTTCATTTCACGATTGAATGAGTGGAAGCGTTTTCATCTTGCACAAACAATTGACACTTGGATGACTGGCTAATTGATATTTATCATGCTATTGTGTATTGTGATACATCGGATAAAGTAAAAAAAAAGTTCGAGCAACAGTCGAGTCACATTAATTTATGTTTTAATTTCTAATAAGTCGGTTTTACAAATAAGCAAATACGCAATTGTAAGATTACAAGGAAATATTGAAAACTGTTTATTGTTACATGTTTAACTGGTTCTATACCAAGTACAGTTGATTCCGGAATTAATTTTCGAGATGTTGGTAGATAGACCGTTCTTATATTTTCAGAAAAGACTAATTGATGCACTGTTCAGTTAAGTATTCAATGTTAACGAAAACCAAGTTTACTGATCCTGGCAGCATTGTATATCATTTATATTACATGAACACCATATGACTATTTTTAATAGACAGGTCTGTGAATTTATGGTAAACATCGCGAAACAAACACTCTGTGTAACTCAAACTTAATTAAACTACAAATATAGCATAGTTGGCTGGCTTTTTCACTAAATGCGACCGTGTATTTTGTGATTTGTTGTTGTTAAAATACATAATGCGAATGAGAAACCCGTATTTTTAATTATTTTTGAAGACATTGGCCTGAAAAACTGACTTCGGAATTTTGACACTGTACGATTCATTCTCTTTGTAGTTTGTGTACTTTCTTTTGCACCGTTCGTTGTACATTCTTGTACTATTCGTTGTTCAAAAGCCTATCAATATGGTAGAAATATGTATGTCACGGCGTGACAAAATTTCAAAGCTTTTTTAAGCGAGTTCTAAACGTTAAAGGAAAATTCGCCGTAGAAATACTTTATATTCATGGATGTTCTGCTCCAGTAAACTTTCGGATCCAAGACAAGCTAATAGCAAACTCACCAACTATATTTGAATATGCATGATATGAGCGTAGTTGTACCCGTGTATACTGCTACGACTAGCTTGCATGTCAAATTGTAAATATCATCAAAGTCATTTAAAAACTATTTTCAGATGTTGCATGTCTAGTTAACATAAAATAACAATGAAAACTCATCGCACCTAAAAAAATTCCACATCAGAAATGATTGCACTTACAGTGATAATTCATCGCATCTATAGTTAAAATGAATCGCATTAAGTAATTAATATTATGGATTCTACTGCTTTATTTACACTTTTTTGGACTTTAATCCTGTTATTATACATTAAAAAGTTATATTCTAATGAAATTGTGTTAAAACATACATTCAAATCAATTATTTTTTATTTTCAAAAAGTAAACAAACGCAGTTTTTCCCATCATCCTTTATTCTACAATAGACATACTCGCATACAACGGTGAAAATGAACTAACTGGATTCGCACTTTATATACACTGTATACTGAGTGCAAAAAGAAACGCAACAAATCATATTCATAACCCCCATTTACCCCTTTTGGAATGAAAATACAATTTCTCCTTTTAAGTATTCTTCGAACATTTGCCTACATATTACTCGAAAAGTTTGGTCTATCATGAATTTCTTTCAGATACTCAACTTTCATTAAGTCTCATTAAAATCAATCGTAAAATCACGGGGTTACATTAAAAATTTATCACAATGGACTAAATGTCTGGGAAAACATTATTTATTTATTAGTTGTATTGGCTTTGAGTGAGTACTCTTTTGTTCGGTGCTTAGTGTCTTTTGTTTTTGTGTTAGTTGTTTTTGTGTCTCGAACTGATCTTTTGAGTTAAGCAAATTGCAATTGATTTTTACTGTTTGTTCTTATGTTGTGTTGTAACACCGTAGTCAGGTTAGGGAAGGGTTGAGCTCTCACAAACATGTTTAACACCGCAACATTCTGCAAGTGCCTGTCTCAAGTCAGGAGCCTGTATTGCAATGATTGTCGTTGGTCCAGGTTTGTCATATTTGTTTTTCGTTAATTTCGTTTGAATTGTTTAGCAATTTTCATGTCGGGGCCTTTTACAGCCGACTGTACAGTATGAGGTTTTCTTAGTGTTGAAGGCATACAATTGCCTACTACCACTTCATTTCAATTCTGTTGGATAGATGTCTCATTGGCAATCATACCACATCCCCTCATCCTTATATATATATCCAAATAAAGTTTCCTGAAGTCACAAACAACTTCCACCACCTGAACATCTAAAGTTAATCCACTACTGATGCAATATTTTATTGAACAATGATGATATAATTAGGAATTGTATGCATGTATTTTAGTTATAAAGAATAAAAGTATGGACAAACGTTGGGAAGGGGATGAAATTTTCAAATCTTTAGAAGGGGTCTTCAATTTTTTCAAGGTGGAGACATGACAGAAATAAGAGAAATTACAATGTTTCCTCCCAAGTGCCCCCAAATAAAGAAAACGACCAGTCCCTGTGTATATTTGACTGTAAATTTTGCATAAATAAGTATCTAAATAATAACTTGTACTTGTTGGAACCACCCCTTTCTTTTACGACCAATGCTTGTGAATGGGGACATATGGTTGTAACCCCCCTTTATCCTGGGTTGGGAACTCCCCCTTTTAAAAATGGCTGGATCTGCCCCTGTTTCATATATCATGTAATATATAAATGTGTAAATCAACTTTTTATTCCTGCTTTACGGGGAAGTATTTCAATTGTCCTGGTTATGATTCAACCGGAAAATGACTCTTTTTGTGATGAAACCAAGCAAACGCCTTTTCGATACAGGTTAAAAAATTGAGAAGAATTCGGTTTCTGTAGTATTCAGGTATTTATAAATATCAATGAGAAACGTATTGACATGTATTAAAAGTCATATGTGATTCTAATGCAGTTACTGATAACGCGTCGCCAGTAAACTCAATTTGCGAACATCAAATCATCAATTGATGCCCGCAAATTGTCAAATGCGATACAGTTATCTCCTAAGTGCATGGTACGATCAACATCACGCTTATGTGCATTGGTGAGATTTCGTCTATATTGCAATTTTATAATTCAAGTGTTATAAAAAAAAAGATTCAAGATGTGTTAAAATAACTAGAGAATATCATATGGCTTTTTCAATATCACATCCGTATCAACCCGAGACACCAATATAATCCCAAGAGCTCTGCTCGAGGGATTATATTGGTTGAGGGTTGATACGGTGTGTGATATTGAAAAAGCCTTATCATATACACTTTATTATATACATATATCCCTCACGTAGATGTTTTTTTGTGACATGACGTCTTACAGATAAGGAGGTTTGAAATGACGTCATACAGATTATAGGTTTGACATTACGTCATACAGATTAGGGGTTTGATAAAGCCTTTGCAACAGTGACTGCAATCGATGACGTGACGTCATACATATTAAAGGTGTGATAAAGCCTTTGCAACCGTGCTGATATCGATATCATCACGGGTGGCTGATACAGCACGCTTGCCAATGATTGTATTGCACATACAATTTATCTGTATTTACTACTAAGTATATAATAAAATGAAATAAACGCACTAACCTTTGTATAAGTGTATCCTCAGTATGGTAAAAAATGTCGAAATCGAAAATTCCAGTATCGTTTGAAATAAGATTCTTGTCACAAAACGGCGCTCTGGTTACTGTTTCAATTATAACGGCTGGTTCTTTGTCTAGTCCAGCTTTGGTTTTGTTAAATTGACATCGGATTTCCTTTGTCATAAATATTAAAATTATAGAAATA